GGACAACTATAATAAAAAAAGATGAACAATAAGTCTTGGTGAGTATGTGGAAAAACTGACCCTCACACACTGAAGGTGGAATGTAAAATGGTACACACATTTTGGAAAAGTTCGGTAGTGCTATGGCTTAGAGTTAAAATGTCCCCGCAAAGCTCTCATGTTCAGAGCCAGGGCTTTTGGAAGGTGACTGCACCCTGAGGGCACTAGACCTAGCAGCAGGTTAGTCCACTGATGCATCCAGAGACGGATGTGCTATCAGGAGGGGGACTGATCAGAGGAGCGCCGCCAGAAGGATGGCCGAGAAGCCTGCGTTCTTGCACCTGGCTCCTCCTCTTTGTGGACTAAGTAGATTTAATAGATATTTGCACAACATTTCATCCAACACTCGCAGAATATACATTCTTTTCAGCACCATTTGGGCCTTTCTCTATAATAGAATATACTGGGTCACAAAACAAGTCTTAAACAAGCAAACAAACTAAAATCCTATCTTGTACCTCTGTTGATCACAAGGGAATAAAACCAGACGTCAACAAGAGAAGCTTTAGAAATTACCTAACTACATGAAGATTGAACAACACACACATTTTCAAAGAAATATTGGGTCACTGAGGAATCCAGAAAGTAAATTTTAAAATGTTTTGAAATAAATGAAAATGGAAATATCACATACCAAAACCTATGGGATGCAACAAAAGTAGTACTGGGAGGGGAATTACAGTAGAGTTCCTACATTAAAAAAAAAAAAAAAATTAAATGCACAACCTAACTATGATCTCTGGGACTTAGAAAAATAGTAACAAACCAAACCCACAATTAGCATTAAGAAATAAATGATTAGAACAGACATAAATGAAGTATGTTAAAATGTTACAAAAGATAAACGAAACAGAAGTTTTTTTTTTTTTTAAATACACTTGACAAAACTTTAGCATGTACACAGAGGGAGGGAGGGAAACAGAGAGAGAGAGAGACAGAGACAGACATAGAGCCAGAGAGACAGAGGGAGAGAAACCCAACTCAAAAATGAAAAAGTAAACACTATAATTGATACCACAGAAATATAAAGAGTCACTAAGAATTATTTTGAAAAACTATATACCAACATTGGAAAATTTGGGTAAAATCCATAAATTACCAGACATATGACCCACAAAAATTGAAGGATATAAAAATCTTGAATAGATTAATAACAAGTAATAACATTGAATCAGTAATAAAATCTAACAAAGTCAAGGCCTGGATGGCTTCACTGCTATGGGGTTTTTTGTTTTGTTTTGTTTTGTTTTTTGCAATTTAAGATTATTTATTGAGGAGAGATGAATAAAGGAGGGGGGGCTGCCTCAGCCCCTCAACCCCACTAGGGGAAACAGACTCCTTCCCCGTCTCTCACCCCTCTTCACCGCTGAATTTTTACCAAACTTTTAAAGAACACAGATGCTTAAACTCTTCTATAGAACTGAAAGGGAGGGAGCCCTTCCAAACTCATTCCAAGAAGCCAGCATTATCCTGTTACCCAAACCAGACAAAGACAAGATAGACAGACAGACAGACAGACAGAGACACACACACACACACACACACACACACCCTCTGTTCAACAAAACTGTAGACTAATATTCTCATACTGGAGCTTTGAGTCCATACTCAGCTGGCTCCAAGGTAGAGCAGCACATGGCAGAGAATAACCTTTCATGACATTGGCAAAGAGCAGAGAGCAAAGGGGGTGGCAACAGCTCAGGCAGCTAGAGCGCCTCTCTCCCCTCCTTACACTTCAGTGCAAATTACCTGCCACAGGGCAGCTGCAGAGTCCACATGCACAATAATCACAAACTCCAGAGCCTGCCCCATGACTACATGAGGCTTTTGGGGGACACCTATACACAAACCGTAACACTCATGAACACAGATATACAAATCCTCAACAAAACACTAGAAAATCAAATAGCATATGAAAAAGCATATGAACAGCACATGGTACACCATGATCAAGCTGGTTTCAACCCATGGATTTAAGCATGGTTCAACAGGGTGCAAATCAAACAAAATACATCAAACAAACAGAATAAAGGGTCAAATCATGATCATAGTAATGTTGAAAAAGAATTTTATAAAATAAGAAGTCTTGAACAAATGAGGTCTAGAAGGATCACACCTCAAGGTTACCAAACATATATATGACAAACTCAGAGCCAACATCATACTGAGTGGGAAAAAATGAAGTGTTTTCTCTATGATCAAGAATAAGACAGGGTGCGTGCTCTCTGCTCTTTGTCAACACAGTGCTCCAAGTTTTAGCTACAGCAATTAGGCAAGAGGAAGAAAGGAAAGGTGCACACAGTAGTGAGGCAAACTCAAACTGTCCCTGTCTGCAGACACAATTCTTTAAACACTGCAGACCCCACCAAAAGACTCTTAGAGCTCATACATGAATTTGATAAAAGCAGCAGCATACAAACATCAGCTTTTCTTTACATCACTAACAGACTAGAAGAGGAAAAAAAAAAAAAAAAGCAACTCTATCCACAGTAGTTACACATGCAATCATATCGGCATACACTAAGGAAATGGAAGCTTTCTACATTGAAAATTATAAAGCAGTAACAAATGAAATTGAAAAAGACCTCCCAAAGAGGGGAGCTAGAAAGACCTCCCATGTTCATGACTCTAATGTTAGAATATCCATACTACCCAAAGCCACTCAGTACAATCGTATCAAATTACCAACGATACACAAAGATACGCTAATGTGTAGTTTACTTTCTGCTACTGTGACAAAATACTTGAAAAATCTATTTACAGGGGAGGTTCATTGGGCCCATGGTTTCTGAGATTTCAGTAGGTTCTGTTCCGGGCTTGTGCCAGGAGTGTGGGGTGGAACAGAGCTGCTCACCTCATGAAGACTGGAATGTGGAGACAAAGAGGAGGGTAGGGGCTGGGCCCTGGTACCCCTCCCTGCACAGGGATGCCCCATCAGCCTGACTTCCTTCCCCCAGGCCACCTTCTTCCAGGCTTTACCACCTTCCAGTAGCAAATCATCTTGGTACCAAGCCTTCAACACATAAGCTTTTGGGGGATGTTTAAAATTCAAGTTGTAACAAGTTAAAAAAAAAAAAAAAATCCCAAAATTAATATGGAAGCACAAAAGACTCCAAATAGCTAAAGTTAGTATGAGCAAAAAAACAAAACTGGCAACATCGCACTGATTTCAAGATATACAATAGAGCTACTGTAACCTAAACAGTATGGTATTGGCATAAAAACAGACACATAGACCAATGGACAAAATAGAGACGAAGAAATAAACCCACACATCTATGACCAACTGACCTTGCCAAAGGCACCACATGCTGGAGAAAGGGTAGCCTTCTCAACAAACAGTGCTGGGAAAACTGAGTGCCCCTGTGTGGAAGTTTGATCTCTTGAGATCTCTCTGTACAAAAGTCAACCCAAAATAGATTAAGAACCTAAGGGTAAGACCTGAAACTCTGAAGCTATTACAAGAAAACAGTAGAAACACTTCAAGATAATGGTGCAGGCAGTCATTTTCTGAATAAAGAATACACAAACTAAGACTCTGTCAAACTAAAAAGTTTCTGCACAGCAAAGGAAACAACAGAGTGAAGAGAATCTACAGAAATGGGAGAATTATGTCAGCTGTGCATCTGAACGAGGGTTCATATCTAGGATATTTGAAAAACGAATAAAATGGACAAATGACCAGAATGGACACATCTGAAAAGAGGAAATACAAATGGCCAACAAATACATGAATAACTGCTTCATATCATCAGCCAACAAGGAAATGCCAATAAAATAACACCTCGCCCCAATTAGAATATTATGAAAAAAATATGCTGGTGAGGCTATAGAGAAAAAGGAACATTTATGAACTATTAACAGGAATGTAGGTACAGCCACTATGGAAAGCAGTATAGAGATTTCTCAAAAATCAGAAAGGACACCTACCATATAACTGTTAGCCCACTTGTACATGGTTATGGATTATGAAATCAGCATATATGCCTAATACACCTGCCTGCCCATGTGTATTATGGCACTGTTTTCAAGATCTAGAACATGGAATTAGCTAAGTGCACACCAAGTAACAAATGGACAAAGAAAACATGTTTACTATAGTGACAAAAGAGTATTACTCAGCCATAAAGAATGAAATCCCGTTAGCTGTTGTAAAATGGATAGAACTGGATGAGTTGTGTTAAGAGAAATAAATCAGACAAAGACAGGGACTAGAATTTGGGGAGGCTGCTGGGTGTGTATATGGGTGTGTGAAGAAACGTGGCTGGATATGACCACACTGTAAGGTATATGTACACACATCACATTGAATCTCACTGATATGTACACTACACATTAAGAATAGTAAAAAGCTTCCTAAAACCAGTTGTTTACTTTTTTTAAATTTATTTTATTTATTTATTTTACATTTATTGTGTGTGTGTGTGTGTGTGGCCAGCTCAGCCCACCAGGGTGCGGCTGGCTGGCATGTGGTGCTGGGGGATTGAACCGCGGTCCCTGTGCTTTGCCAAGCTTGTTCCAAGTAGGTGCTTTAGACCACTGAGCCATCTCTCCAGCCCCACCAGTTGTTTACTTAATAAGCTTTAAGAAAGTATATACAACCTGCTATTTTTTGAAGTGTCTAACTTCCTGTCTGTCATCTCTGTCTCTTGCTCTCTTGTTTATATGCATCAACAGACATCAGGAATGACGTTCACCCAATACTAATGACAATTATTTCAAGGGATATACTTAGAAAATTGTATTTTTCAGCATTAAATGGTTTATAATCAAAATACATTATATATCCCAGAAATTCAGTCATGATCTTTTTTTTTTTTTTTTTTCTTTTTTTGGTTCAAAGACTTTGTATCTCAGACCGCTTATACATGGACAGGTCCCAGCCTGCACACTCGACAGCCTTCCCTGTACCAGCCTTGTCCCACAGGGTTGACCCAACGCTGCATGTAAGAGCACGGGCTGTGTGCAGGGCATCTGGTGGCAGGGAAACCACAGGGCGGCGTCTTAGTCCCAGCAGCCCCGGGTTTCTGTGGGGTATGTTATAAACAGTGAGCCATTCTTCAGGCTTCCTGCTCTGAGCATACCCCATGGTGATTTTTCTTAAGAGCAGAAAACAAAAAAATAGAAAAATAAAACGATAAAAACCCTGAGACAATGACATACAAAGACGTGGATGGGAGATTTCTTTATGCAGCCCAATACTAAACCCCTTTCCTGCCAGGCCTGTGGTTTGATTTGACTGTCCACAAGCCAGGTTCACCTGCTGCCTTCAAACTTGCTGCAGGCTGATGAAATGCCACCCTGCCCCATCTCTATCTGAGCCAGCCTCAGCATCTTCCAACATTTTCCATCTTTGCCCTCTAGAACTACCTTTTTCACTACACTTGGTTTTGATGTAGGGCAGAGTGGGTGGGAAGAAGAAAGGGAAGATTTTTGTCCTTTTTCATTTTTTTTTGGTGGCACTGGGTATCGAACTCGGTACCTTGTGCTTGCCAGGCAGGCACTTATGCTGCTGAGCTGTAAGCCTGGTCAATGAATCTTTCTACAACTGCTGAGCACTGTCATAAACATCTGTATTCCCCCAGCAGCCCCTCAGCCAAAAGCCTTTCCTGAATGGTGGTCCCAGGAGCAGAGAGCTTCACCGAAGGTGGCTCACAACCGCGGCATCTCTGCCACCTACTCGCTGCACAGCACAGGTCTGGCATATGCACCAACATGCCTCATAATTAGCCAAAAGCCTCCCTTTGTATCCTGCCACCTGTGTTGGAGTGTGTAAATATTAAATGCAAAGGCACGTTAAAATAACATTAGGTTTGGCTGAAGCACTGACAGCTGCGGTCTCTGAAGCCGAGGCTGCTGACTAGATGCTCTTTATCCTTCTGGGTCTTTATTTGTACCATTCTGGACGCTGTCAGGTGGAGGTGGAGACCCGGGAGGCGGCCGTCTTCCAGAACCCTGCTCTTCTGGCTTTCACCCTGGGGTTGTGTGCGTACAGCTCACTGACCTCGTGGCAGCGGTGTACTGACCGCACCCTCCCTGTGGAGGACAGACTTCCACAGGCTGACCATGTGTGGGGGCAGCCTCGGGCACGGCAGTGAGAACATGAGAAAGGTACATGGCTGGGAGTCAAGCCAAGGTGGCCCACAAGCTGCAGTGCCCAGGCCTTTTACACAAATATTTTGGGAGGACACTCAGGACAAAGCCAGGCAATACCTACATCCCCCAGCAAGCCAGGCCAAGAAGCAAAGCACGCTGCTCTGGCTGGCTTCTCACCCTTGCTAAATGAAGTCTTCCTACTTTTCACATGGGAATACCCTATTAACACTTTGACTGCCAGGTGTGGTGGCACACACCTGTAATCCCAGAGCTTGAGGGGCTGAGTCAGGAGGATCACAGAAGTGCAAGGCCAGCCTGGACTACAAGTGAGGCAAAGGACAGCCTGGATTACAGAGAGAGACCCTGTCTCAAAACAATAAAATAAAAACTTCAATTATGAAACTCCCTCAGCAAAGGCATCCAGGTGGCGTAGCAGACACGTACTGGCAGATGGAACAGACGGCGCTCTGGAAGGGGAGACATACCTGTTTAGCTGCTGCGGAAGAAATTGCCTTACTGTCCAGCAGGTCAAGAAGCTCAGCAAGTGCAGAGGACGTGACAGGACTGGCGGCCCCCAAAGGAAAAAGAGAAAAGAAGTTTGCATTTCACACTGGCAGGCCCATGAATGGCTGTGAGCATCCGAACACTTGCTCCTGTAAGCTTAAATAATCAGCACAACCAGGAACAAAATTAACAGGTCAAATAGGCCCTCTTATTTTACTTACTTTGTATTGTAGGCTACAACAAATTCTTGGTGTTTTTCCACCTATTTTACCACCCAACAATGACAGCTGTTTGGCAGAAGTTGGAGCAATAGACAAGTGCTCAGTATAATTAGTCAGAAAAAGGAAGTGGCTGAAAAATTCATGAACCACGAAGAGAAAGGGAGAAAAAAAAAAATCTAGTAATTAAGTATTTTCAACTGAAAGATCAGCCTAAAAATTACTTCAAACAAAACAGCTAACAAAGCCACTTTTGTGTTTCTGTGCAAATATAAATTCCTTTTAATTGTAAGAGATTTTCCATAAGGGACACAATGTCTACCAGCTCCGTGCTCACTCGTCCTCACGGGCCCTCTACACACTCTATTCTCTGCAATTCAGAACACTCAGGGCCCAGAATTCATTACATCTATGCTTCTATGATGCAACTTATTTGTCAAGATCCCATGGCTAAGAAAGTCAGGGAACTAAATCCAGTCCAGTAGCATTAGTTCCTGGTCATAGCAGGGTGAGGGGCACCACAAGATGACTGCAAAGACAATGAATTATGCACTTCTGCACCAATGTATGGTTTCACTGCCTGGACTACTGCATATGTCACAACCAGTGATGATGCTGGAGGTCATGAAGGGGCCACTTCCAGCAGGAATGACGTAAAGCACAAGAGCGCGCCTGTAAGTACAGGCTTCTGAAGTGCTCAATCACTGAAAAGAGCTCTAGATAAGTGCTGATTCCTGGCATTCACTGTTAATTCACTTGGAAAGAAACTACAGCTTAGCCTCAGTGTCTATTTCCATGAGCTCCAAACCAACAGGCTCATCCTCAATGTGAGTTTGGCTGCAAGGTAATTCCAAGTGGAAATTAAGTTTAGAGTCTATCTGGCTTACTAAGTTAGTGTACAGTGTCAGTGAGCACCCTGTGCAAATCCCAGAAGGAAGAGTAGCAAGGGCTGGAAAAAATCAACCAATTTCCTTTTCCAACTCGCCATCTTTATTGACAAGTGCAGGGAACTAGGCATGTCTGGAATGTCAGCTGTAGATATTCTTTCTGTATTCCTAGAAAATACAAGCGCCACATACGCCAGAATAGACACTGTAGAACCCAGAAGCACTGAGGTAGAACTAGGTTTCAAGACACACAAGAGGAGAAGTCCCCAGCCCTGCATGGGCCAGCGAAGCTCTCAGTGTGCTTTGGCTGCTGTACGGAGCCCTACAGGCAGGTGGCTTATACATAACACAACCTTCCTCTCACACTGGGGGAGGCTGGGAAGCTGCAAAGGAAGGTGCCAGCACATGGCATCTGCTGAGTGTCTTGGTGTCATCACTCTCAGAGTTGGCACCCTGTTGCTGTGTCCTCACAGGAGTTACGGGTGCACCAGCTCTCTGGGGCTTCCTTCCAAGGGCATTAGTCCCTTACAGGGGCATAAATCCCTTCATGACTTAATCATGCCCTACGACAGCTCCACTGCCTAACACCAACATCACCACGGGGCTTAGAATTTCAACCTGTGAGACTTGGCAATGATATAAATGACACACAGGTGGACAGAGACAGGAAAAGGACACAAATAACTGAAAATCCTTCCCTAGAGAAGTCCAGTGACTTAGCTCGTTCATTAGTTATGTTATGCATTGACACTGTGGGTCTCAGGACTGATGTAACAGCACTTGGGAGTTCTTAACTGCCTCTTTGTTTCCTGTTCTGACTTCATCTGGGCGTGTACTTCCTCCCAGGCTCAGGCCTTCAAAGATGGGGCTTTTCAGAGCTGAGTGAATCCAGGGTGTATGAATATGGATTTAGGGTGCATGGTACTAATTTAGTCCACTGACTGATTGGTTTAGCATACTTCTGGGTGTGGATAAAATGGGAAGCCCCAACTCAGGAGTGGGAGGCACAATTAACAGGTTTGTAGTCTGGACAGAATGTGAGGGACAGAAAGAAGGCAGGCATGCAGTTTGCTGCTCACTACTTCCTGCCCGCCCTGCCACAGACTGTTTCTCTACCATGCTCCTCTGCCACACCTCCCTATCTCGGAACCGAGTATAGACAGAATGCTCGCACAACCATGACAGCACAAGCACAAGCCACTAATTCGCTGTTGTCAAATAATACTGGATTCTGGACAGCGAACGTGTCTCCACTAAAGAAGAATGTGATATCACAAGCCTAAGTGTCAAGTGCTTGTGTCTCTTCTGGTTCTCTAAGACCAGCATATCTACAGAAGCACGGAAATAGGATCTTTCAAATCTACTAGTTTCATCCAGTCCCTTAGAGCCCTTAGGATCACAATGCCACCTCCAGTGCAGATTCCTGGAACAGCACCACTGACAATTCCCAAGCCCATTCCAGCCTAGAGGCTTGACCTAGGAGAGGGTGGTGAACGGATGGCTTGTGTGCTACAGCAGGCTGTTTATGTCACTGAAAGCTCTGTTACTGTGCTTTTAAGACAAGAGATATTAATGTATGAGCTACATTTTCTAAACTAAAACCCCAGTATTAAGGTTTAATTGCCAAGTTGCCACTCTGTGATACATAAGTGGGTTTTGGGCAGCGCTTCTGGACCTCCATCTCTAAAAGGTCCACTGTTGCTACGCTAGGTCCAAGTCCCTCCTTCTCTGCTTTTGCTAAGAGAGAAGCCAAGAGCTCCTGGAGGAAGATGCTTGAACCTGGAGCTCCAGTGGTGTGTGCTGTTTGCCAATCCTCTGGCTCATCTCTGAGTTTGCAGTGGCCGGCGTGGCCCAAATCGCAGTAACTGCTCTAGAGAGCCTCCTTCCCACCTCTCCCCTTGCACTTCCCGGCCCTGCATTTTCTAGACTGGTGCCTCCTTTCAGCCAACATGCCCTCCATGCATGTGCCCTTAACGCCATCACTTTCTACTTTTAGATCCCGCTTAGGCCCACTTCCCTTGGCCTGCTGCTTTCATCTCATCATTCCCAAACACTCTCATCTTCCCCAGCCTGAAAATGCTGCCTGGTGATCTGCCTGGTTGCTACCAGATCCAGCCTTGGCCACTACTGCTACAAGCACATATCACTGGGATTCTACACTACCCATCTACCAAAGTCTTCTCTTGAAAACCAGCCCTCACTGTGGCCAAGCATCCAACTTTGCTCCTGCTTTATGGGACTGCAAACGCGGCGCTTGTGAACAGCCCGGGCCTGCCGGTAACCTCTCATCTTGGCCATCACCTTCTACTCCCTGCTGGGTGCTCTCTGGGCACCTGACACTTCCTGTCTGCAGAAGGAAGTGTATCTGTTCCAGGGCCACTGTCACTGCTCTGGATCTGTGCTCTACCTGCTTCATCTGTGCCTCTCCTGGGAGTTCCCAAGTTCATGTAATACCTGTCCTATGCCAGACAGCCAACTTCTGGGAAGAGCCAGACAGTAAGCCTTGAGCTTTGTGGCCCACATGTGGTCTCTACGGCAGTCTTCCTGCCTAAGCAGCTGCTGCAGGGCACTGAAGGCCTTACATATGCTAAACATACCCTGGCTGAGCCACGCCAGCCATCTCCCCTTTTGAGAGCAAGACAGCAAACACTTCTTCACAGGTTACACAAAGTGGCGCTCCAAGGCACGCTCACCAGAGTAGGCCCAGCCTTGCTCTCAGCTCCTCCATAGGCCAGCCTACTTGCCGTCTCTCCTGATGACAGTACCACTCTGTTGCCTGGGAGCAGCCCTTCACATGGGCTTTGTTCTCCCGCAACTCTAGCCTGTTATTACAAATCCCAGGAATCCTGCAGCACACATCAGAGGCATCCCTTCCTCTGTATTCCTTCTCTGACATGGCTGTCACTGCAGGCTCCACTGTCTCCCGATGCCTGCAGCCCAAACCTCGGATGCTTTCCCAGATGACACTGCCGGACTAACCCTCACCCACCCACTCACCCAGCTCGGCCATCTGCTGGCTAGTGTTAATGGTGACTGCTGTTGGCTCTGCAGCTATAGCCCTGAGTGTCACGCAGGCCTAGTGGCCAAGGCGGTTCATAATTAACTACTTACCAGTCCCATTATGTAAATATAGGACGGCCAAAGCTGCGTATTTTTTCATTAATGTTTATAAGATATAACAGGAAATATAAAAACAATTTCATCAAATGTATTTGTTACAAGAACCAACTGGCTGCACTGACACCTGCCTGAGCGAAACCCAGGACAGTCCGAGGTATCATTTGTGTCTGGATGTCACCCCAAAGTCTCACGCAGTTGTAGCATTTATTCTGGAGGTAGCAGGATCTAGATCTGTGACTGATTCATGGTGCAATGCTGGGACTAAGGGTCGGTGACAGCCGTGTCAGTACACTGACTGCATCAGCACCACTCTAATCCCAGTATACTGGACACAATATAAGGGACAGAAAGAGGCTTGGCTCTCTTTTGGTGTCTTCTGTGGCCATGAATGAGCTGCTCCCCTCTGCTATGTGCCAGCCTGCCTTGGAACCAGCTGATTATGGACGGAAAACTCTACAAACTGTGAGCTACATAATCATTTTGTCCTTGCATTTTGGGTTTGGGGCATTTTGTCTCAGCAACGAGAAAAGACAGTCAGTATATAAACAAATGCACTTCCCCAGCAACACTGGGTAAACTGTGGGCAATGCTCCCCATAGTTAGGTGGTCTATCCACTGCCTCTCAGCTCATGCTGAACTCTCTACCACAAGAGGTAGGCCCAGCTGAGACCCAGAGAGTGTCATTAGGACCCTACACCCATCAGTGGCTGGGCACCCATCAGTGGCTGGGGTATGGAGGGAGCGGGTCTGCTCTAAAGGCCAGCCAGACCCCTCACCGGCTCTGTGGAACCACTGTGGCTTTAGGACTCTGCCAACAGACGATCTTTACCCAGTGCAGCCCCTGAACCTCAGACCAGAACCACTGCACTAACATAGTCCTTAGTTTTTAAAAAATGTGCACAGGCTGTGGTGCTGTTAACAACAGAACATGGACCGAGACACTAGTCTAGATACATGTTCTTCACACTGTAAGAAAACAGTTGCTACAGCATGGTCTGGGCTTCTCAGTTCTTGTTCCACATCACTTATACAACACAATGGCTGAGTGGCTTCCTCTTTCCTTACTTCGCAATGACCAGGTGTGTTTTTACTGAAAATCAGGTCCTGCTGGGGTTCTATGTGTGGGGTACTGCCAGAGGCTACATGCTCTCTCTATGGACCAGTCTGTCCCTGCATGCCTGTAGAAGCTACTGAATAGCTGCACATGCACCTGTAATTTCACAGACCAACACTGGGGACATCCTAAGGCCTGAGTCGGGGACTGGCTCCGTCTTAGCCATTGTGCCTCTGGAGAGAAAGACCTCATCTCTGAAGGGCTTCAGTTTCCTCATCTGCTAGAGGAAGAGCTAAACCAGAAGTCAGCACTCTATCCCAATTCTAAAACATAACAGATCTGGGAAGTATGGCCGACCATGCAGTGTGAGAGACCTCACAGCTAACACCCTCCCTTCATGGAACACACAGCTAACCCCTCCCTTCTTTGAGATATACAGGCTCTTCCCTATTTGGTGCCCTCTTGGGTTCTTCTGGCCAGAGCAACTCCCCTGCCCTCTTCTCCCACTGCACTGCACACTTCTCCAGCAGCATGCAGCCCCCTTGGCCTCACTCCCACACTGACGCTCAAGGCCGTGCTCCCCAGAGAGCCAGCATCTAGGTGCTGGGCCCACTCCTGCTCCTCTACCCCACAGCTTCTCAGTCAAGCCCACCTCTCTTCTCTCCTTCAAAGGCTGCTCTGCCACTGCACCCCTTGGCTTCCCAGCAGGGCTCAGGTCTTTCTTCTCAAATGCTCCCCAGCCTCTCAGGCTTTGGAGGAGCTGCAGCCCCCACCTTCCGTGTGGGCACAGCATCTGCAAGGGAAACAGTGGCACTCATGAACAAAAAGGCTGTGCATGGGCAGATGGGCCTGAAGGACATGGTAGAGCAAAGGAGGGGGACACTGAGTGTCTGTCACATGACATGTTGAAGGCATCTTCCTCTCAGAACCCTTCATGGAGGGTTGGGCTATCATTTAGGAGTGCCAGGCTGGCCTGGAAGAAGGTTCTGTGCCTCTGTTCCCTGCCACCACCGCAAGAAAATTAAACAAACCAAAACCACCCTTCCAGGGCCAGTCAAATAGCTCAGCGGATTAAAGTGTGCCTGCAAGCAGGCACAGGGGCCAGGGTTTTGATCCCCGGTCTTGTCGTGCTGGCCCTGCCCCTGGGGTGCACTGAGACGGCAACTGAGATTGGGCGTGGTGGAGCGCATCTGTAATCCCAGCTCTTGGGAGGCTGTAAACAGGCAGATCACCATGAGTTTGATCTAGTAGTGAGACCCTGAACACCCTGTCAACCCTTCCCTAAAAACTACAGAAAAAAAACCCAAAAAAATCACCCTTCCCCTACAAGGCCAGCAGTGCCATCTGCACTTCACAGCAGGAGAGCAGTGGTAGAGTTGGGCACTCACCCGAAGCCAGGTTGCAGGGATGGTGGCCGCAGGTGCCCAGAACTCGCGTGACCGGTCACACTGCTCCACAGATACACACACACGCCTGGGCCAAGTGTGAGCTGACTGTGTAGCCTTAACTCTGAGTGCAAGTAATTCTAGGAAGGTTGCATCCCATGCGGACCATGTGGGAACGTGTGCCTGCCGGGCTGCCCCTCAGATACCCTCTTCCTTGCCCTACACCCACGCCTCATTCCTCCCCTCCTGAAACGAGCCTTCCCCTGGCACACCACTTCACCAGTTTTCCTTCACCTTCTCTGCTACTGCATCTCAGTTTGCCCCTCCGGATGCTCCCTAGCCGGCCCCCTGGCCACCTGCCTATTTCCCTGCTGCTGTCCCACTGTGGCTCAGACACTCTCCAGGGTCTCAGCCCAGACTCATGTCAAGATGTTCAGAGTGAAGCTCTGCACACAAACACTGTGGGCCTCCTGCCTGACCTGCCCTCCTCAGCGCTCAGCTGAGCCAGCTTCTCCACACTGAGCAGCTCCTCTCGGCTTCGCTGTTACCAGGGGTGCCCCTCACCTTCACCTGCTCAGCAGAGCGCTGCTGGTCCCGAAGGCTGTGCCTCCTGATGCTTGGCACACGGCAGAGTCCAGACAGACAGAAGGACGCCAGCTTTGTAGCCAGCAAGCAGAACCTCCAGTTCACACCTCCCAGCAGTCTCAGGCCTGCTACAGACCCCCACACCTCCCGCAACTCAAACTCAGTGCATCCAGATTCCTTGTGGTACTCCGCAGCCCTCCAGCTGAGCTCACCGAAATTCCCTTCCCTTCTACTAGAGAAGACAACCCCTTGGCACCAGAATAAAGTGGAAGCTGAACTGGCTTGGGAGAACTGCTCCTGACTCGGGCCACTCACTCAGCCAGGGAAGGAGCACCTCAGCTCAGCTCAGTGGCACCTCCTCAGTGCTCTGAGATGTTCCTGACCAGTCTCCCTGTGTCTGATCTGCTCTGCTGAGGACTGAATTTGGCTCCTCCAATGTGAGCATATAAGGAGATGGAGCATTTGGGAGGTGGTCAGGGGTGGGTGAAGCCACAAGGGTGGGGCCCCTATGATAAGATTGGTGCCCATCGAAGAAGAGTTTTCAGTGTTTAACTTCCCCAACACTCCGCCTTGTGAAGACAGAGGAGGAAGATGGCCCTCTGTATCCAGGAAGGGATCTGACTCTATAGGCACCATGATCTTAGACTTCCCAGCTTCTGAAGCTGGAAGGAAATGTCTGTTTAAGAAAACCAATCTGGGCCTATGTTACAGCAAGGCAAGCTGAGTACTATATACCATATTCCCCCAGTGTCAAGTGGGGTAGAGCTGTGACCTGAGGCTTTGTATCAGAGTCCTCTAGGTGGCCCTGGTTGTCTCCCAACTCTGTTCCCACCTTTCCTGCCTGCCTGAGCACAGTGCAGTCTCCGGGTTTCCTGCACCTGTCATGGCTACATGTCCCTAGGCATGGCATTACTGCTTTTTCTGCCCAGATGCCCCTGTCCTTCCCACTCTCAGCAACTCCCTTGAGTTCCTCACAGTGCAGTGCAAGCATCAGCCTGGGAGAAGCTTTACTTGATTTCTGTGGCTGCAGCTCAGCGCCCTGGGCTGAGCCTGTTCATGCCTACCCTAACAGGGTCACACAGAAATGACTTCTCCTGCACCTGTTCCAGCATGTAAAACCCATCTGATTAACCCCAGCCCACCGCAGAGGACAGGGAGCAGTCAGACAGGCAGGCAGACACACAAATGTTCAGGTACATGTGGGTATTTTTAGACTCTTGAGTGCATGGAGCTTTGTAGTCTTGTTAGAAGACCCTAACAGAGCAAGAGGAAGGGAAAACCTGCCCTGCCCTATTTCAGCTGCTCCTTGGACAGAAGAAAGCAGCCCCGCTCCCACTCACCTCTCACTCACAGCAAGGTTGTGGTGCTTTAAATAGCCCAGCAGCGTGTTGAGGACCCAGCTCGTCACCTTTTTTGGCTCTGCCCTAGTTTCTTTCATCACATTCTGGAAGAACTGCAGCAGGCCAACTTCATTCTGTTATAATAAAAAAAAAAAAAATTATATAAAGCATCCAAAAAATGAAAGCTCAGCATTCTGAAGGCAACTCTGCAACTGCCGCTCTCTCATCCTGCAAGACACCCACCCGCTCCTTTCCTCAGCACAGAGATGCGATTCTGGTCACTCTCAGTATACAGCAAACATTCTACTTCTACCTTTACTGCTCTGTGTTTATACAGCATTTTACTTCTAAGGAAGGAAGCCCTAAATGTGGGCCTAGAGGATAGTGAAATTCACATCCCTGAGCTCCCCGCCCTCCCCCTCACCCTGCGCCTGGCAGCTGACACTTGTAGCTGCAGCCTAGCCCACGGCATCTGGCCTCAGCATAATGCTCCCTCTCTGTCCTGGCTTGGCCTCTGCAGAGACCCAGTGACCCCTAGAAAAGAAGGTAAGAAATGGAGAAAATCAAGACGGAATAGAATATTCCATCTCTTACAAAAAAAAAAAAAAAAAAAAGAATATTCCATCTCTGAGAAAATTGAAAGTGGGTCACAACTGTCTGCATGCGCAAAGACACCATCTCAAGACCTAACCCAGACATACCTATCGGCAGCACGGGGCAGTGGCCTCCAGGCAGCCAGCCCGACCTCAACCCTCACAATGAGCAATGACGCATCAACTGGGGTGTTCAGCAGGGGGACCTATTTCAGGGAGATTCTGCTCCATGTCACCTCTCGGTAGTCAGCTGCTGGAGTTAAAGCCACACTGTTTCACCTGCTCCATACACAGTGCCAAGTAGCACTTGTCAAGCAGCAGTGGATGGGCCCCAAGTGTCCCCTGACCACGCCACTCAGTCTAAGTCACATGTGAGCACCTGCTTTATCTTTGAAATATTGGAATTACCAGTCACATGTGAGAATGACCAAGGCACTACTTGTTAGCTCACAGTGATCTGGCAGCACCTGGACAGTCAGCAAGTGTTCCCCACCAGTCCACAGTTCAGTGAACACAAATAAAAACGTTTCACTCTCACAGGGGAAGCTCGTTCTCACTAGAGGGCACGTGTTCACCTGCTGAAATCCAGGCCAAACTACCCTCACTTTGACATCTTATACTACAGGTAAGGCTCCCACCTTCAGTAACTGAAAGAACTTTCTGGAAAAAGGAAACCATGGGAAAGAGCATATCATACCAACAAAAGCTAGTGTTAAAAGCTTAGCTACTGTAGAAGCTGTCACATGTACACAAATACACAGTTGCTATGTAGAAATTCCATTGCCAAAAAGACCCCAAAAACTACATACCTTTTGTGACACAAATTCTCGCTAACAAGCCTACTAAATACTTTCATAATCACTCTTTTCAAGTGAAGATTATTGTTCTGCTCATGCTAAACCTGGGCAAAGGCCATCTCAGAGCCCTGACTAGAGATACAGGCAAATTCAAGAGCAGAAATAGGAAGTATTGCTCATCACCAGGCAAGCAGTGACACTTCCATGATCTTAAGCAAATCACCTGGAAGGGGGGACCCCATGGCCCGGTCAGCGGAGCACAATTCCCTCTGTTCTAACCTAGGCATGGCCACAGGGAAGTAGGTCATCAAAACTTTGCTCTTCCAGGAAAGGCTCCCAAAATCTACCCAGAAATATAGCACTGGGGCCGCAGGCTTGGCTGAGGTATGATGCGTAGCTATTCTTCTACCCCTGGGCGGTTTTTTTATTGGATGGAAAATATGGCAAGTCAGACTTCTGTTTCTTTTCATGTCAGGACTCTGATGAAGTCTCTCCAAGCTGGAACTGTACTTCACCCCACAACACATGGTCTCGGTGCAGGATTTAAAGCAGATGTGACAATGGGCGACGGGCAGCAGGGCTGAAGGAGGCTACGGAGAATGATGGATCCATGCGCAGCTAGCTGCCTGCTCCAGCTCTGTGGAGCAGGAGCACACTTTCCAGGGGACACACACAGGCATCCTGCGCTTCTGGTCGCATTAGTTCTCTGTGAGACTGCAAATACTAATAAACTTGGTGCCAATCCGGGAAGTCTCTGGTGAACACGGCAGTGCGGCCATCTGGCTTTATCAGAAAGAGTGGACTGATAATTCCCTTGCATAACAACTGTGTTGGGCGCAACACAGGGAGACCACTGTGGCAGGGGACAGTTAGTATCTGCCTGAAGGCGGCAAGTACCCACCTGTCCTGCATAGGACAAAGACAAAAGCAAAGCTTCAGCTGCACAGCCAACCAGGTCTCCTGGCTCATGTGACTCCCCCTCACCTTTAGAGACAGCTAAAGCATCGGGACAACAGGTCCGGCCCTACGTGTAATACCAGACAGTCACACAGCTCATCACCAGCAAGCATCTTTTCCCCATTTTGATTAAGTTTCCAGAAGCATCCAATTATATCCTGAGCCCACACAGATCGGCCACTGGATGCCAGCAGGAAGTGCCCGTTACTTAAGGCTCTCTGGCCTCCATGCTGCTGTGGACAATGCAGATGCCACTTCACATTCACTGCCTGTGCCGTGGAGGAGGCTTGGTTTAGCCACAGAGAGTCTCACGTATCTCCTTGGATGGGAGAGAAGGCAGAATGTCATAGACCATGCCTTTGGAAGAGGATGAAGGCCCATTTCTTAACTGCCATTCTTGTTCTAGGCTAGGCACACAAGAACATGATGAGGGCCCAGAAATGAGGCCAGATGCTACAAGCAGAATGAAGCCTGAGAGACAGCTGCCTGGGGCAGACTAGGAGAAGAAAACGCAACCCACAGAGCACCAGCCCAGAGACAGGGCATCTGGTCATGTGATGGGAGTGCCCTCCCTGGCAGCTCCAGGGGACCTAGAGTAGTGCTCCTGAGCCTGTCAAGGGCTCTCAAGAGAATTTACTAAGTCTCCCTGCTGCCCTGCACTGGGGACTTGAAAATCTCACGTAAGTGCGAAGCCCTAGGTTTGCTCCTATACATGTATAAACTATGATGCAGCTTAATGTAATTAGGCACAGTATCAGTAATGATGCTTAATGATAAAACTGAACCATCATAATAATACACCACTAGGAAGGTTTTTAAAAACTTACGAATTATTTCTGGACGTTTTCATTTGAATTTCTGGACCATGCCAGAGGTGGGTAATGAAATTGTGGGCAAGGGGATGGCTGCACCTGCTGGACACAGGGACAGCAGTCAGCCCGGGGCAGCTGCTATGAGATCACAGTAGTTCTTCAGTAATGATTCCACGTGTCCACACTGCTCCACATGCCTCCCATATATGAACCATTTGGCTTCAGCAATGGCCCATTAGTGAAGACCTCCCAGGACTCTCCTGCCAATGAGGACACCCAGGCACTACTGGACTTGAGGTCACACAGCAAGAGAACAGCAGAGCTGGGATTCAAACTGCTGCAGTCTGTGCTTTTAACGTGTGACACTGCCTGAAGGACACGTCCCTTCCGTCCTGGGGTCTGAAACAGAGCCACCTATCAGTATCAGGCACAATGTGAGGTCAGGACCTCCTCAAAAGAAAGCACCTTCCTACCACTTCATTACTGTATTTGCTATCTGCCAGCGGGTCAAAGGTTTTTAACTTATTAAAAATGTTGCAGAGGCCCCCAGCAATTAGCTTAGAAATTGGAAGCACAAAGGGCAGGGGAGATGGCTCAGTAGAATAAGCGCTTGCTTAGCAAGCACAAGGCCCTGAGTTCAATGCCCAATTCCACAAAGAGAGAGAGAGAGAGAGAGAGAGAGAGAGAGAGAGAGAGAGAGAGAGAGAGAAATTGGAAGCACAGAAATGGCAAGCTCATGTGCTCCCTTTGCCAAGGTACGCCTTGGCCCTCTGGCCTGATGCACGCCAGTTCCCAGATCAGGGGAAGGTGGTGGTGCATCCTCAGCCTGGGTATGCTGGACTTCACGGATTGGCAGGTGGCTACTGGGCCTCAGGCCTCTCCTCTGCATCCCTCCCATACCAGAGAAGTCCCTGGGGCTCCTGAGCCCCACATGCTATGTGATTCTCAAGGGCCTGCTGACACACAGAGATAAACCCCAGTTTCTCATTAGTTTGGACTGTAAGTATAATGCATTCTCTTCTTCTCCTCGTCCTCCTCCTTCTCCTCCTCCTCCTCCTTTTGTCTTTTTGAGACAGGGTTTCACTCTGCACTGGCTGGCCTTGAACTCAAAATGATCCTCCTGCCTCAGCCTCCCAAATTTTGGGACGACAGGTGTGCATCACCACAATTTCTTGCAATTGTTCCTCTGGTAGAGGCACCTCAAGTGGCACGCTGATAGATAAGTGGGCAGTCACACCTGTGGTGACAGTGGGTAACTGAGAGGCCCTGCCTATCCGGACTGAACAGCAGTGGTTTCAGCTGGGTGAGGCTCTCCTGTTCACCATGTGGCATGCTGCAGAGGCACCGACTAGAACCATACCCACCCTATGTGTGGTGGAGTGGGGGAGGTGGGTCTGGGCATCTGTGTGTGCATAGATCAAGGGGTCATTACTTGCATGGGGTGGGGGGCTGTTGTCCCCTATTCCTATGAATCCAATCACTCTTACAAAGCAAGAAAAACAAAACTCAAACCCAACAATTCGTGAAACATGGCCTGAAAACAACATGAGATGCTGGTGCTGGCAACAGAAATGAAGGAAGTGGCCCACAGAGCAGCACCTCTAGGACAGGAGACAGAAACAAAGGGAGGTAAAGGATGTGTGTGGTAGGGGCTACAGCCTGTGATGTGCACTGGTCCTCCTGAGCCATGGGGTCTCTCAGTGGGTGCTCCCGGAAACAGAAAAATGATTCACTATGGAAGTTTCTTGAGTGGGAAACCCAAGAAGAGGTACCAGGTGGTGTGAGACTGGCCTAGGAAACAAAAGTCCCACTTGAGCACATCAGGAGCCAGAAGAATTCGGAACCACCGCTGCCACTTCCAGGAAGACAAGGATATAAGCAGCTCTGTAAAGAGCCCACAGACGCCAAAGCCATGTTCTCCAGGCTAAGAAATCAATGGTCCTGTGTTGGTTCCCACTGTTCCACTCCTGTGTCA